GGCGGGACGTCTTTGACGACATACGTGATGAGATTGTGACAATATTGAGGTTTTGAACAGCGCGTCACATTCGTCAAACGGTCTTACCCTCCCATGCTAATTTCAGTTCACGCAAGTTGAGAGGGTGACCACGAGAGCATCCAAACGTAAGCGGCTAGATGGACAGATAGATAGACAAATAAATGGATACGCTCAATGTCGCCGAAGTTCGCTAAGAAATGCTTCAAATTTAAAAGAAAAGAAGAAGCCATGGCACGTGACATGAGCAGCTCTGTACTTTTATTTTTTGGAATAAATGACAGTGTTGAGGCGCGCTGCTGGCCCTCTCATCAGGTGCATATCTCTTGGATCCCGGTTCATCTTGGAGCGAAGTCTTGGGATTTTACAGTCTATTCAATAAAATGATAATTGCGGACGCTGTTACTGGCCACAACTTGACTAACAGCTCACTCCTTGTTACTGATCAGGCATCCAGAATATCATTTCCAACTCTGGACAGATTTGAAACAAAGTGGATGCGCTTTGAAGCCGAGAGCGCCACCGCTTGAAATACGCAATCGGGCATGCTAATTTTCCCGGCAATATTTCGCCCTAAACGTAGATCTAATGTGGCCAGCACGCCCCGCCGCAGTGGTCTAGTGGCTAAGGTACTCGGCGGCTGACCCGCAGGTCGCGGGATCGAATACCGGCTGCGGCGGCTGCATTTCCGATGGAGGCAGAAATGTTGTAGGCCCGTGTGCTCAGATTTGGGTGCACGTTAAAGAACCCCAGGTGGTCAAAATTCCCAGAGCCCTCCACTACGGCGTCTCTCATAATCAAATGGTGGTTTTGGGACGTTAAACCCCACATATCAATCAATGTGGCTAGCAGTTCACGTCTCTATGAAGGTCACTATGCATGCTTCGCAACAATATGGGCCACGCCCACATTGTCGATTGTTCGGGATGTTGAAGACCATCACCATATGCGGCTTGAAGTTGAAACGTTTATTTTGCTTGAATTGTGGCCGGAAATTTCAAGTCCAGCTACAAGCGTAATTGCTTTGCGCTCACAGTGTCGAAGAGCGTCGATTGGTGATCATGAACAAACTTTATGTAATTACCAGAAGGATCCTCCTCCCTTTTTAGGTGAGAGAGGGCAAGGACCAAACCTAGACAACGGACATGATCCCGTGGGCATTGGTCAGCCCACCGTATTAAGCAGGCTTGTAATTGTGGGTCAGAGCTGAGGAGCACGGTATTGCATTCACTCCCGTCTGGGAATTCGCCTCTCACGGGGGTCAGCGGGCATGTTCATAAAATGTAGCTCAAGTCCGCCCTGTTTTTGCAAAATTTACACTTACCCGAATGAACTTCCAGCACGCATCGGTTCATTGTTACCAGACTAGGGAACGTATTGGTCTGAAGTAGGCGCCTCGCCACCGCCAATCCTTTGTTCAATGACGAGTGTGCGGAAGGATAAATTTTCCTGATTAGCCTGTAATACTACGTAATATCTCTGCAAGTGGTCATCAGCTCAAATCTCTCGTCGTCCTCCCAGCTCGACCAGGGCAATCCAGAGGCTCGGTCGGCGAGTCCTCGAGGTGTCTGGTGTGCCGATTCATTGCCGGGTAAGGAGGAGTGAGCGGGTGCCCATGCTCTGCCTACTGTTCATTGGTCTTTGTATCCAGCCGAAATTCCTAAAGGTATTTCAGCTATTTGCCCTGGTGCAAAGTTTCTCACAGCCATCTGCGAGTATCTAACGATTAGTGAAGTCGAAGTGTATCTTATGGCCAGTGCAATAGCTGCTTCCTCTGCCTCTTCTCCAAAGCACGTTCTTACCGAACCGCTGACCCTAAGAATTCATTTGTAGTCCACTACTGCTATAGACATGCTGCCATATCCTTTGTGTTTGGCCGCGTCTACGTTGTTGTTTCCGGTAAATCTTTTACGTTTTTATGTATATTGTTCACTCTTTCAGCTCTCCTTGCCTTATGTTGATCGGGGTGCATGTTTTTCGGTATCGGCAAGATTACTAAACATTTCCTGATTTCATACAGGATATCCTTTTTGGCGCCAAATGGACTTGCGTAGTTAATACCCAGTTCATCCAGGATGGCTCTGCTTGTTTTACTTTGCGTTAAACATTCATATTGTGCAATTCCGTGAGCTTCAATAAGCTCTTCTATTGTGTTGTGAAGCCTTAATTGAAGTGATTTCTCGTTAAGGTAGCTATCGTGAGTACAATTGCCTGTTTGAAAACTCGTTCAATGATTCTGTGTAATCTATTCTCTCTCGGCCACTTGCAGTCTATTGTACAGAATCACATTTAGAATACGACTTATGACAAAAGCCTGTACAAGTCTAATCATACTATTTTCCATAACACCATTGTGTCAGTTTGTAATCCGTTTGAGTAGACGCATAGTTTGCTGAACACTACTTTCAACTAATTTAATCGCCTCTCCGCCATGCCTGTTCGAGCTGATTCGGAGTCCCATATTTCTTATGTGTTCGACTATAGGTATTTGCGTTTTTCCAACAAAGACTTTATTGTTTGGTTTTCCTGGACACTTTTCCGACCCCTACACGTCGGGTTGTAGAAAAGGAGTTGTGATTTTTCTGCTTACCTTTTTAATCCTTTATGGGTGGCATATTATTCTACATTCCCTGCGGTTCGCAAAGCTTCTTCTATGTATCCGTCACTACCTTCTGCTATCTATAAGGTAATGTCATCTGAATAGAGGCTATGGTGGAGTCTTGGATTTTCATTGAGTTAGGTAGGGAGACCTATCATGGCCACATTAAAAAGAAAGTGGGAATGTATTGAGTTTTGCGGCGTTCCTCTGCTGCCTAGACTAAATTTTTTGAGATTCTACTTCACCTAGTATTACTCTCGCGGTCCGGTCAGTTAAAAAATATTTTATATATTCGTATACTTTTTTTCTACCCCTAACGCTTGAAGATTGGCAAATATACCTTTGTGTGATGTACTAACGAAGGCCTTTTTAAGATCTAAGCACACTATGACCTTTGTATTGTGTGTATTAAGACAAGAATCAATTATTTGATGTATAATCTTAAGCATGATGTCTTGTGGGGACAGTTTTGCCCTTGAAGCCTACCATCGTATGAAAATAGCTCATTGTCTTATATATAGTACGACAGGCGAGTGAGGACTACATACTCTAAGAGCGCCGATTGTCAATTAGTTTTCTCTACGGCAGTGCGCAACAACACTTCTACATTTGGCATCAATCATTTGAGTGTTATCACTGGTATGCGCGCTCATTCAGAAATGAAATTAACTGCTTACGTTGCGCTATGCAGCCGAACAGACAATCTTTAAAAGATCTGTAATGTTCCCAAACATCCTGCTTTAGATTCCGCGAGGTAGCGTCTGTACACCTGCAATGGGTCAATAAAATAGCAAATAGAAAAAAAAGGCGAGTGGGTGGCCATAGGAGGATGAGTGATAGATATATTGAAGAACTTTACTATTGTCCAATAGGTCATGCTAGTGTCCTAGCCCGAAGCGGACAGCTCCCACGTTTGAACCGATGGACCTAGCCTTTTGGCTGCTTCACGGTACCGTTCCACTGCCCATAATTGTCCCTCTAATGTAGTACTGCGCAAAGCTCCGTCTACAGGAGGATGTCACCATTTTTTTTCAAGTATTCTATTTGTGGTGTTTAACGTCCCAAAACCACTCTATGATTATGAGAGACGCCTTAGTGGAGGGCTCCGGAAATTTCGACCACCTGGGGTTCTTTAACGTGCCCCCAAATCTGAGTACACGGGCCTACAACATTTCCGCCTCCATCGGAAATGCAGCCGCCACAGCCGGGATTTGATCCCGCAACCTGCGGGTCAGCAGCCGAGTACCTTAGCCACTAGACCACCGTGGCGGGGCTTTTTTTTTTTTTCAAGTCTTATTTGCATTGTAGTCGTCAGCATTCTTACCGCGAATGCTCTGACACCTGACCTACTTTTATGCCAGCCATGATGTGCTGCGCAGCTCTGGAGCTGCTGTAAGGCACGATGCACACAAAATGCAACAAGTATCATCAGTGCTGGCACCGACACGATGCGAGAACGGAGAGAACAGCAACGCAATTGAAATGGAGACACCTACTCGTGCATCTCACTCTATAGGAAGATAAAAAGAGAAATAAGACGCACACAATCTGTGTGTGTCTTGATATTCATATCCACCTTTACACTTCTATTCAAACAGCAGAGTTCGTTAATTATACACGTCACCTCGAATGATTCTCGCAGTGTGACATACAACGTTGGCGTAGGCCAGACCGTTGTTTGTTGAAGAGGTGACCTCCAAAATGTTGAGGGCACGTGCCCGTGAAACGAAGAGCAAGTGGTGTTCAGTCTGACATTCACCACTTTTCGGGACACCTATACCGTAGCACATCTGGGTATACGACAGTTTGAGTGCCCAATGAATGCATATCTCTTGTCTTGAAAACGCTGGAGCCTGGTGAGGGCCCTCCAATATGTTTTCGGTGCCTCTACTATGATTTTTCGGTGCCCTCTACTATGACGTCTCTCATAATCTTATGGTGGTTTTGGGTCGTTACAATCTATGTATCAATCAATCAATCAATCAGTCAGTCAGGTTATTCGGTGCGATAAGTAATCATCCACCAAACATGATTGGAGAGAATGATAGGCACCTTTATTATCATGTTATCTTCATCATGACGTGTCACTGATGCTCTTCTACAATTGTACCTCTTCTTTCCAATTTTGCTTTAAACAAAAGGAACAGTGCAACCACGAGTTTACGAGGATGTAGACAGCTAGAAAATCAGTTAAATATATCGATGTGTCTTGTTCACGTATCAATGCTTCGAATTGAAAAACCTTTTGCGCTACTAAAGATGTAAGTCTATGGGGCCTGAAAAAAAGAGAAACAGAACAAAGCAAGTGTGCATGAGTCATTGTGCCATTTTTGTACCTTCGATTATATATAAAAAGACCTCTCGTTCCTGATCGAAAATAGAATATCTTGCGTGACTCAGCTGAAGATGGGAACAGTTTTAGGCTTCTGCGTCTTTCTCTTACTGACTGCATTTTTAATTCTGGTCATAATGCAAGCCGATTCCTTCTCTCTGGTACTTGCAGGTAAACTTTAACCAGCCTTTATTCAATACGGCAGGCCTGCGTGGTAGGTGCAGCACAGTCACAGCGAAAGCTAAAAGAGCGGTTTTTTTACAGCGAAAGCTTTTCTGAGATGACTACTCGGGTCACGCGCAGTTGCATGTTGTCCGCCGTTGTCCACAACCACATCGCATGAAATTCGAAAAAATAACCTTGCATTAATGACCCAGTGGAGCTTGAGCCCGGGTCCGCTGGGTGCTAGCCCAGTATTCTACTACTGAGCTACTCCGGTGCTTGTGACTTGTTGTCAAACTTGCCTTAGGCACGTTTGATATCGGGAAATCATCGCATTATCACAACCTATGAAGCGTTTTACAACAGCGAAAGAACAACAAGTCGTCGCACAATGCGATTAGCGTAACGAGTTGGCCATCGAATACTGCAACGCTTTCCAAAAACTTGTTCTTGTTTCCCTAATAACTGTGGCGCATACCCACTTCAGTCATAATTCCTCATCGTTTTCAGCCATTGCATGTACAATTGGCACGAAATTACTAGCAAGTGTTTAGCGGATACCATGCTTCTCAGAAGAATGACGAAAAACAGCATAGCGAATGCCGGCCTACTACACAAAAGTTTATTATTAATGCCCTAGTGGGTACCAAGCAAGTGTGCTTGCAGTAGTTACCCAATGAGTGTTTTGAAAAGGCTCCGAAAGGCCGCTCGTCTAGCTGTCAGCGTGACTGTGCTGCGCCTACCGAGCAGGCCTGGTATTTTTTCTCTATTTTCGCACAATATTGTTATGGACACCTGCAGGGGTGGCGGTGGCGGCGGCGGACAACAACGACTGCACGTGACCTGAAAACTGATCTCATAACAGCTTTCACTGTAAAACATTCTTTTAAATTTCTTGGGACGCCATAGGGACAATAAGGCAGGCTTACCACCACCAGAATGGCCTTACGAAATATAATTGTATTCATTCCTTTTTTTTCTACATATCATCGATATTACGTATGATCAACAGCATAGCTCAATAAGAATACGTTTGTCTACTCAATGTGTGCAAGGATAGCCTTATTCTAAATGGCACTTTTGACATGCCAAATTTTGTAACTTTCATTGAACTTGCTTTAAGATAATTATCTGATTTCTCCCAGAACTGTCGTCGAGCATTGCCTTCTTTTTCAGAAAGACAAGTGTCGGGAGTCGCAAGTTGTAATTGAACCATAATGTGCATCTTTTTCACAAAAATACGCTCTATGAATATTGTAAAGCCCACACAAAAGCACCTAGGTAGTATTCATCGTTCCACGAGGAGTTGAAACCAGCTTGTTATAAAATTATTTGGCCCGAAAATATGAGAAAAACACAACTCTCCTCTTCCCACCTTTATTCTCCTCTGCCAATTTCACAGCATTCACTAGGACGTGCACCATTTAGGATTAGAGAAATTGCGTATTTTTCTCTATCCCTCCTGCCACCACTCGCGCCATCTCAGTGTGATGACCTAAGGGGGTCGGCAACACTCATTTTTAAGACTGATTGCAGTTACATTCTGGAGGTTTGTTGAACCAAAAATTAGGTTGCACCCTATCAATATCCGAAAGGTCACTTTCACTTGGTAACGTAAATAATGGTTTCGAGCTCTACACGACACCAAATTTCTAGGTTAAATATTGTTCATATAGGCGTCAATATTGAAAATATGCATTTAGAGGCACTTACTGTAATTGTTGCATGAACGCCAACAAAAGGCACACAAAGGCACTCTAAAAACACTATAAAAGCCCTTTCTAACCTCAAATTTGTGCTCGTATGTCAAAATGGCGTGAAAGAAACACAACGAACAGCACAGGCATTTGCCTAAAATCCGGTCTCGAGTGGTAACGACGAGAGAGACAGCTAAGGTTGTTTAGAGATGAGCAAACTCTTCCGGGTGTTTTCGTGTTTTAGGTTCAATGATAATTTTTGTTTTTAGTTACTCCATGGACTTGTAGCCTAATATACCGTAAGTCGCCAGCGTAACGTCACACCAAGCAGATAAGTGAGAGCCTTCGGAAAAAGAGTTTCCGAGTACAATAATATACCGAATACCTGCACAAACGCCGACCAGAAGCAATGTAACTGACACTAAATTATGCATCAGTGATCTCGAATTACATATTCAATATTTTGGTTAAAGTAAAGTCTGTCTACTCAGTGAAAAATATGTAAATTTTTTTCCAGTATTTGTTTTTCCATCCAGCCGTGTTATTTCTATAACAAATTTGGTGCCAGCAATAGATATCCAACTTCTGGTTTTCTGATGCAAAAGCCTAGCTTTTTACATGCTTGGGTTGCATGAATCAGAAGTAACGTACTATCATGAGGCACGCTACTCTCTGTCACACAGGAATAATTTATACCCTCCGTAATTACTTAACGTCAACTAAAAACAGCCACATGGTGATTATTTTTCTTTCTCCCCCCTCTTTTATGTGGTAGCAGGGGTATTCGAATGTGCCCTCGAGTCATCAAAGCTTTTGCTCATGTCGATTTTTTATAAATGCATCTCAATTAGAATATTCAAATTGTGCTTTACTTCTTGTACTAATACTTTGAAGTCGGAATAACTGATCGTTCAATTAGGGGACTGAGCAAAAAAAGTATCTTGTGTCTTTTTTTTTCAAAGTTTTACATAATTGAATAGTACTGGATGAGCAATTCCGTCAAGGTCGACACCTTGATTAGTTTTCAAGAAGAAACATTAAACTTAAAACCATTTATTATGAAGTGACATTACTTGAAGTTTATTCTTATTTGGCCAGAAAGAAAGCATTTTTACTATTTCTTAATTTAAAACCAGCCATCACTCTCAACGCAAAAATACAGAAACAGAACGGTGGAGTTGTGTTTATTATTCGCTCTAATCGTCAGGACAGAATTGAATAAACGCAATGATTTTATCTACCTAAATTACAGGAGGATGCGCTCCATATGACGGAAAAGGACGTGGAAGGCTTGGAGGCACTCCTGGATACAATCGCAGTTGTAACTTTTCCGGCTGACGGTCTTCTTATTCACCAATTTCATCCTAACCACGCATACAATAAATGTCTTCGAGCTCGCTTGTGAATGGTATTGACACGGGCATGGAATGAGATTGAGCTATGCCATTGTGTATATCAGTTATTGGGATATTGAAGAGACGACAATAAAGTAAAAAAATGAGGTCGTGTTGCTGGTGATCTGTCCGACTCAACGTCCGGTGCTCCTGTAGACCGAACTTGTGTATTGTTCATAAATCACGTGGCATTATAAGTTACGTACACTAAACACAGCATTAAAAAGAAACACGTTTTCCATTTAGAGAAACGTTCATTTTTTCTTTGTTAAACAAATTTAACAACGCATCAATATTACACCATACGTAGGAATATTTGTTTAAAACTTTTATGCATCTTTAAATGAGTTGGCAATTCAACTGAGAATTTTAGGCAGTGGTCGTTAGAAATGGTAATGAATTTTTTTAATTACGTTAGCACTTTCAGTCCTTTCGGTTCTGTTCACTTTTCTATTTTTACGAAGGCGCATTGCATTTGCTCTAGTGGCCACACCAGAATGAAACTTTGTTAATGTCCACCTTCTGTTAATAACAATCTGGTGATAGCTATGCTAAAGTCATAACGAATCCTGATTGACATTAAAGTGTACCACCCTCTTCTAGTTTCTCGTGGCTATTGTTACATAAGGAAGTATGTTTCTGGTAATGTTTGGCTACAAATCTTCGCTGATATAGACAGTGCTTGCACTGTGTCCTTCTCCTCTGGTGTCTTCGTCTTGTTCGCGCTGATGTGTCGAAGATGGTAGGAAGAAGTATCACGCTGCAACACTGTCGACATCACTCTACTCTTTTTTTTTATTTATTTATACTGTCAACCCTCACTTGAAGGTCATTACAGAGAGGGAAGCATAGGATATGGAAAGTAAACACAGACATTGATATTTTCAGCAACTTTGAACAATAACACAATAGCATGTTCATTGCTCGGCAAAGTAAACATCAAGAGCACATTGAAATTTTTTAACGTCAGAATTTTCAACAATATGTCGCGGCAATTTGTTCCAGGCTTCTATAACATCAGGGAAAAAAGATTTGCGAAAGACGTCCGTGCGAGCACCGAAGGGGCGAACCGCCGCGTCATGATTGATCCGGCTGCTGAGCTTATGCGGGGGGTGTACGTAAATTGTTCTATCTATTTTTATTTGACCATGCAATACCTGAAAAAATACTTTTAGGCGCTGCTTTTGTCGTCTAATTTCTAGAGATTTCAAACCACTTAGTTTTAGCATCTCGGTAACCGAATCAGTCCTTTTATACTTCGAACATATAAATCGCGCGGAAAGTCTCTGAATTCGTTCCAGTTTACCTATTAAATCCTTTTGGTGGGGGCTCCAGGCAGCACAAGCATATTCTAAAACAGGGCGCACAAATGTTTTATATGCAAGCAGCTTGACGTCTTTCGTAGCATTCGGTAATTTAGCACGCAAGAAACGCAGTTTTCTGTAAGAGGCACAGCATACATTCTCGACATGTGCACGCCATTTCAAATCATTTGTAATATGCACTCCCAAATATTTAAATGCACACACCTGCGGTAAATAATTAGGTCCAATGCTGTACGTAAAGGGTAAAACGTGTTTCTTGGTAGTTATATGCGTATATGTTGTCTTAGAATAATTTATTTTCATCTCCCATTTATCCCACCATGTTTGAAAATCATCAATACAATCATTAATTACAATTTGGTCATTCGCACACGTCACTGGGGCATAGATTAAACAATCATCAGCAAACAATTTAATTTTTACAGGAGGGTTAACAATGTCAACAACATCATTTATATACACCAAGAACAGCAATGGGCCCAACACGGAGCCTTGGGGCACACCGGAATAAACATCAAGTGATTCAGACTCAAACCCATCAATTCGTACCAACTGCTTGCGGTTCGTTAAGTATGCCTCAATCCACTTCAGGATATTTTCGTTTACGCCTGTTCATTTGAGCTTGAAGAGCAATTTATGGTGGGAGACCTTATCGAAGGCTTTTGCAAAGTCTATGCATATCACGTCGACTTGTTCTCTGTTATCTACGGCAGCGGCAAAATCGTGGAGAGTTTCAATCAGTTGGGATAACGTGGAAAGCCCTTGCCTAAACCCATGCTGTTGCCTACATATCAGCCCATTTGTCTCCAAGAAAATAGACATCTGTTTGGCAATGACGTGTTCAAAAACCTTACAGCAAACACACGTCAGAGACTCTGGCCTGTAGTTGGTAAAAAGCATCCTGTCGCCACTTTTAAATACCGGTTTCACAATGGCGCTCAGCCAGTCTTTTGGAAGCGAATGTGTCAAGAGTGATTTTTCGAAGATAATGACTAAGTAAAACGACATCCACTCCGCATACCGCCTCAAAAACACAGTTGGTATTCCATCCGATCCATTAGCCTTCTTTTCGTTCAAATTAAGTAGCTGCTGAAACACGCCCGCTTGATCAAATGAAACTGGATCCATGGCGCATGTGCAAGTATCGGCCATTTTCTTATCTTCATCCGTGAATGCCATCTTTGTAAATACAGATTGGAAAAAGCGATTGAAACCATTAGCTATATCTTGTTTCTGGGTTACAACATCAGAGCCAACCGCGATATGTTCAATCGCCTCTTGCCGATCGCTCAAGTATAGCCAAAATTTTCTAGGCGAAGTGCGCAAGAACCCAGAAAGCGTTTCATTGAAGAACCTTTTTTTGGACTTGGAGATTTGGATTTTCAACGCTGCTCGTAGTTGGTAAATCTGCTTAGAGTGGCCTTGTCTTTTGCGTAATCTCTTTATTTTGCGTTTAGTGTGGATAACATCTCTAGTGATCCAGGGGTTAGTCTTCCTTGTTTTTTTTCAATCGAATGGGAACAAACCTTTCTATACAGCTGTTAATTATTGATTTCAATTTCTGCCACAAACAATCAACTGGTTCGCTATCAGAGGCTTGCTTGAAATCATCGAAAGCAGTTTCCAAAAAGTCTAATATTGACGTGTCATCTGCCCGGCCGTAGTCACTAACAGGCACCCGAACGAAGGGTCGTTTTCCAGGTTTTGTACCACATAGAATCTCAACCGAAATCAGTTTGTGGTCAGATATGCCGTCTTCGACCGTAACACTGAAGTCCTCCATAGTGCTGAAAGGAATACCAGGTCCAGCAGTGACTGAGAACCTGATGTTACTCTAGTGTCTTGTTGAACAATTTGGGTTAGGTTATGGCTGATCATTATTTCAAATAACTTTTCACTGCTAGTAGCATCGTTATTACCGGCCGATAAAGAAATCCAGTCTATATTTGGTAGGTTAAAGTCTCCGGCGAGGACTAATTTTGTTGTCTTGTTTACATTTGAGTTCAAAAACGTCTGAAGGTCTTCCAGGAACTCGGGCGAAGTTGCAGGTGGTCTGTATACGGCTCCGATAAGGTAATTGGTGTTCGCGTACGTAAATTTACACCATACAGATTCCGATAAATTGCAATTAATTGGAACTGCTGAGATACATTTTTGATGACAATTGCAACGCCCCCACCACGGGAATTTCTGTCCCAGCGAAACACTCTGTACCCAGGAGGAACAACCGCATCATTCGGAATATCGTTGTTTAGCCAAGTGTCTGTTACGATCACCACAGGGGGAGATCTCGACAGCAATAAATGTTCGAGTTCGGTTACCTTATTAACAAGACTACGAGCATTGAACAGGAGAAGCACTAGCTACGCATGTGACGGTGCAGCCACTGCCCCTCCCACCGGGGCGCCGCCAACGCTGTCAGAGTTGCGCGTTTCTGCTGGCGATCCTTTAGCATACCGCTCCTTACGACATGGTTGGCGTTCATCTCGGTTGTAGTCCCAAGTAAATAAGCTTTCGCCTACCTTCAATTTGTCATAAACTAGCGATACCTTCTTTCCGCTGCCCCTGTCCGCAGCTGCGCTGTCCCACAACTTTTTCCGCACCGCGATCGTCTCCTTCGAATAATCATTGCTCACGCTAATAGAAGTTCCTTTTAGTTTGCTGCAGTTTCGGAGTATAGTATCTTTTTCTTTGAAATTGTAGAACCTCATTATGACTAGTCTAATATGCCCCGGCCGTTGCTTGCCCAATCTATGAATTCTTTCTATTGTTTTAACATGGACGTTCAGTTTTTTGCCAAATATATTGTCGACTACAGAAACTTTCAGGTCTGACTCCGATTTCGAGCTGCCTTCCTTTACGCCAAAAACCAAGAGGTTATTGCGTCTACTTCTGTTTTCGAGTTCACTTAGCCTTTCTGCCTGTGTTTTTACAGTATGTTCCAGAACTTCAATTTTTGCGTTCAGTTCTTGAACTGAAGCAACTAAGCCAGCCAATCCATCGGTATTTGTATCTGGGCTAATTGATCATGAATGCCAGTCAACCGACGGTCAAATGCTGCCTGATTTTCCAAAATAGTCTGTAGCTGCTGGGCCGCAGTAGGGCCGGGGTTTTCTTCGACATCCCCCGCCATCAACAACCGCAGCAACACAGACCAGCAATCAACAAGAATCAAGGAACATCTACGAGGGCACGGCAGGACAATCAAAAATCTATTATCACTACGGTAAGTGACAACAGTAGTTTGAAAACCAACTTGGAAGACGAACGGCGGCAGTTTAGGCATTTCGTTCGCATGGACGTTGCCGTGCCCTCTGAGGAGTTGCCTGATGTGCTGCTCTTTAAGTAGCTGCGCCGCCGGTGACGTCACTGAGGCCGGTGCTCCGTTGATCCACGGCGCATCTTCCAAAACCAGGTTGAGATGAGGAAGCAGGAAAGGCGTCCCATCAGATCCGCTTGTCGCGATCGCTGTCAAAATCTACGGCACAACCTGGAAGACGAACGGCGGCAGTTTAGGCATTTCGTTCGCATGGACGTTGCCGTGCCCTCTCTGTTTGCAAGTAATAAAAGTTCATAGAAGTTGGCACGTATAATCGATCAATCATTATCGCAGAGAGAACCTGCCAAAACAATGTTAGGACGGTGAACTTAAACCATTGGTAGTAAGGCAGCATGCTCGCACCTATTGGGGAGACATAGTTTTAAAACGATAGTTTGGATTGTCATGAAAGCTAAATCACATTCACTAACTTGTTTTGATTTTAGCTAAAAGTCATGAAAACGATATTCTTTTTCGAGCAATTGCTTCAGAATAAGGCGCCTGGTGATTCGCTGTATCGAGTTTCAGACGAACCACGTATACTTGTTATTATCCTTGACCTTGAAAACCACGAGTAAGATTCTCTCCGAAGCATTCCAAACATTCTGATTCATGTCGTAATCACTCCTCATGAAGTCGTGTGATAACAAAATAAGAACCAGCTCTGACGTGAGGATGCACGTAGTTTATATTAGGTTGTTCACACGTTGCAAATGTCGCTGCCGTTATGTCTAAACAAGTTTGGTATGCTAAGCCCGACTGTTGCAGAAACTGATGGGAAAGAAATGTGTCGTAGTTATTTCTTACATTCATCACGTATCTCACAGGCTAAACAGAGTGGGAAGTATATACGTATTTATTGTTATTTTTGTGGCTGCCAATGAGCCCATTACATTTCTGCGCCTGTGCAGGGCAAAAAATTATGAGCGGGCAATGTTTAGGTAGTGGATTTAATTATTCTTTTCCTAAGCACCAACAAACACCGGGAGATAAGAGTGCTGAATCTCGAGGCAAAGAAATTTTAGCAGCAGTGAATGCTACAGACTTATGTGTGGTGAATGATGGCAAACAAACATTTTTTTTCAGCCACCAGATTTATGCAGTGTGAAAAGACCTTGTATTACACTCCACGGACCTTCTGCTATCATCAGCAACGGCCCCAAACTGATTGGTCAGCAACCATAGCCCTATATTCACTAATATCATCGGTCTTGGGACCACTGGTCGATATTTCTGCAATGTGACTCCCTGAGACTCGTGCGGTATAGCGCTGGATGAATCCTCTGGTGAGATGCTTGCAGATATGTTGAGCTGTTTGCAGATACTTAGTAAGTGAGCGGCTGTAGCGGTGCTGAAATTGCCCGATCATTTCCTGCTCCTCACTGGAAGTTAGAGAAGCCGGGCGCAGCAAGTAGAAGAGTGGAGCGGAACCTCATGAAGTAAAAAGAAAACCCATCGGCGAAAACTGAATATAACCGGATAAATGCTGCCATGCCTCACCACACGCAAAAGTAAATACGAAGGATTTAACGGGCTGCATTCTGTGAAAGCTTATCGCCATGTACACCATGGACAAGAATATGAAGAGTCATGAATAGCCTTTCTGGAAGAATCCACTCTCGCAGACCATTCGGAGCACTCGCTTTGCAACGAGGAAATGATTTGGAGACCCTTGCAGAAGATTTCGCAGAAGAATACACATATGGCAGATCAGCAGGAGTGGTGATACCTCTGCCACCTCAATTATTCCATGAATTGGATACGCCGTTCAAATTTCCAGAGCTGGATATGGCGCTTAGCAAATTAAGACGCTGTGCTGTGGGTCCCAATATGATCATCGATCAGATACTGACAAATCTTCCGTATAGTCGAAGGCGCACCCTCTTGGACGTATTTATTCATGTAAGGAGCACAGGCGAGATACCATTTGTATAGGAGACAGCATGGTTGGTGTTGAGGGACCGAAAATATCCTGTGAGCATCATCTCATATCGACCGGTATATCGCTAGCATCATGCGTACCTAAGTTGATGGAGAGACTCGTATGCATGAGACGAACTTGGTACCTTTAGCAAGTAGGATGATGGCCTGCGTGTATGACAGGATTTCGCCCACGGCTGAGCGCCCAGGACAGTGTTTTAGACCGGCTGAGCCACATCGAACACCACCGTGTCAGCGGCCTCTCGACACTCATCGTCTTCATGAACGTTGCCAAAGCATATGGTTGTGCGCTTAACACAAGCATCGTCAACGGACTTCAAGCCATGGGTGTTTCGGAAAATGCTCTTCGTTCCGTACATGAATTCATAGGAGACGGGCCTGTCCGCGTTAAGCTTGAAAATGTCACAAGCGAACAGTGAAGCGTTTCCCTCGGCGCTCTTCAAGGAAGGGTTCTATCTCCTTTGCTTTTAACGCTGCCAGGGCCAGTCTTTCGGACACTCTGAAAGCAGCCCTGAAAGCAGGTGAAATATTCATCTTTGCCGATGATACCCGTATATAGATATCAGGGTACCAATACAAACGTCAGGCCTGGATAGCACAAAAGCCATTTCAATTTTTAACGCTATCGCGTTAGAGAGCTCATGTTGCAGAAATCTCGCCGTCGGTGTCAGCCCGGATGGTTGTGAGCGCAAAATCGTCTAGGCGTCTGTGACCAAAAAACTAAGTTACCGAGATCACCGCGGGAGGCCGCTACATGTCCACGCGTGCACACGCGATCACACGGAAAAAGCCGCGCATTCGAAGAAATAATGAGTGCTCATTGTTAAGAGGCGCTGTAGTTTTTTTGCCCTTGCCGCCCCTCTCTGCTTAGCTTCCAGCACTTTCATCGAGACGAGAGAAGAGAGAATTCAATTCCAGCATTCTACAAGTTTTTGTAACCAATTGCACTGGACAGATTCTTAAAGTTTTTGCAGCGCTGAACTTGTGAGGAAATACGCTATTCCTGTGAAATCATTCCATGGTTACTTGAGAAGGTGTTTCAGGGCCCCTTTAACGCATTTCGTTCGACAAGTGACACATTGAAAACGAGTCCATTCGGCGATTTGTAGGCACACTTGGGAACACTCAAATTACGAAGAAAAATGTCGGGATAGTGCAATCATTGCCGCTAAAAACACACAGGAACTTTTAAACAGCTATAAAAATGGACAATTATGTTCATCTAGTGGAAAACATTGTATGCCTTTCCAGAGGCGTTCATAGAGCAAACAGCAAACGCTAGATAATGTGCTGCTATCTGTGAGGCATTGTGAGACTCTTTATGGCCTCCGAGATGGCGAGCGCGCGGCGTGTATCTTGGAGGCCATGCGATTCTTGCTTTAGATCAAAAACCTGTATGCACCATTCGCATGCTCGCGCTGGTACAATCTACTGTTTGCGTGTGTGCGTGCGTGCATTTGTGTGTGTGTGTGCGTGCGTTTTTGTGTGTGTGTGCGTGTGTGTGTGTGTGTGTGTGTGTGTGTGTGTGTCACACACAAAAATTGGAACTACTCACAAGAAATGTATACCAGCTAAGTTTTTCCGCCAAGCTCTCTATTGGATGCTTTCCAAGCTCTCTATTGGACGCTCTCTATTGCCAAGCTCTCTATTGGATGATGGATGCTTCGCTCCTCACGTTATCGTTGACTGCGTGGATACGCTTTGAATTTTTATACATACGTGTGTGTGTGTGTGTGTGTGTGTGTGTGTGTGTGTGTGTGTGTGTGTGTGTGTGTGTGTGTGTGTGTGTGTGTGTGTGTGTGTGTGTGTGTGTGTGTGTGTGTGTGTGTGTGTGTGTGTGTGTGTGTGTGTGTGTGTGTGTGTGTGTGTGACATAAATATTATCAAGTATGCACTTAGCGGTTTAAGGGCGTACTAGGGGCCGGACCTGGCTATCGCATTCAATTCTTAATGGCGAAGCTTAAGGGTCCCCCTATTTTTAACGCCATTTGTTGACACTTGGTCTGTCTCTATCAGCGAAGGAATCTGCCTTCATGCTCTCCCCGGAAGGTGCAGCACCTTCATTGCTTTACTAATTGTTTTCGATGGCCATGGGCCTAGTATTTTATTCAACGCAAATTCCAGCTCGGAATCTAACTTGTGGAGTTCCTGTTCGAGTCTCCTTCGGTGTGTGTCGTGTTTCGAACAGTCCATCAAGAGGTGATAGGGGTCCTCGCTTTCGTGACTGCATGAACGTGCTGACAATGTTGCACGCTGAATACGAAGTAGGAAGTGCTTTGTGTAAGCAGTTCCAAGTCTCAGGTGGTGTATGACTGTGTCGATACGCCTTGGAAGGTCACGGTGTAATTGGCATTCACGGTAAGGGGCAACAGCATATAGGATCGATTCTTTTTCTTTGTCTTTGAACCAGGTAGACAAGCATAGTTCACCTTTCGTTGTTTTTCAAAGTCTGATTGATTTGTGGGGTTCAACGTCCCAAAACCACCATATGAATATGAGAGACGCCGTAGTGGAGGGCTTCGGAAATTTTGACCACCTGGGGTTCTTTAACGTGCACCCAAATCTGAGCACACGGGCCTACAACATTCCTGCCTCCATCGGAAATGCAGCCGCCGCAGCCGGGACTTGAACCCGCCACCTCTGGGTCAGCAGCCGAGTACCTTAGCCACTAGACCACCGCTGTGGGGTGTTCTTCAAATTCTATTTATATCATATTGAAATATAGGAATGATGCACGATTGTGTAGAATGATGAGCGGTTTTTGCCAACTCATCTGACATTTCATTTTCCTTTATTCTGCAGTGACTGGGAACCCACTGAAATGCCACTCGATGACTCGACTTCTTACCATCCGAAAGGTCTTTTAGTTCAGCGTATACTATACACACATCAAAGTGTCTTGAGGTGGCATTTTCCACACATGCGAGTGCCGCCAGAGAGTCTGTAATTGTCACTCATTTTCTTTGTGCCTTTGAAAGTTTAATAAAGCTCATGGC